AATAAAACAGTAAAACCATTTAAATCACCAAAGAATAAAGTGCTCAATAAGAACAGGATGATCTCCATAGTTTGCAGGGGAATATCAGGCTGCCATTAAAGATGGTATTGCCTATAGTTGGTACATAGTCCAACTATAGTTAGTACATAGTCCGGTGGTACCAGTGTCGTGTAGTATTTTGGCAGCTCTTCCGTGGCTGTCCTTCCGTTCCGTTATTAACCACATGATGGTAGTAGTGGCGGCCCCTATGTAAAAGCCTGGTGGAAGAGCTCCGTCTTGCAGGCCCTGTGGAACTGCATGAGGTCCCGCAGGGCCCACATGATGGTAGTAGTGGCGGCAGTGGCGGCCCCTTAGTACATAGTCCGGTGGTACCAGTGCCGTGTAGTATTTTGGCAGCTCTTCCGTGGCCGTCCTTCCGTTCCGTTATTAACCACATGATGGTAGTAGTGGCGGTAGTGGCGGCCCCTATGTAAAAGCCTGGTGGAAGAGCTCTGTCTTGCAGGCCCTGTGGAACTGCATGAGGTCCCCCAGGGCCCTGATTTCTCCTCTGGGAGCTCATTCCACCAGGTAGGGGCCCACTGAAAAGGATCTGGCCCTAGTCGCCGCAAGCCTCACCTCCTTGGGTACTGGAATTGCCAGGCGATGTTGTGTCCCCAACCGAAGTGCTCTTGGGGCTATGTATGGGGAAAGGTCCTTCTCCTGATGTTGCCTCCTGGCTCTGGGATTCAGAGGCTGACTGCCTTTGAATGTGGAGATTCCCTTTAGTCGCCATGACTAGTGGCCACTGATAGACCTGTCCTCCATGAATCAATCTAATCCTCTTTTAAAGCTGTCTGCTTCTGTGGCCATCACTACATCCCTTGGCAGCAAATTCCATATTTTAATCACTCTCTGTGTAAAGAAGTACAAACTACTGTGCTAATCAGTTGTGACCTCAAGGACAAAATTAAATAGTTTTTCAGAGCTTCCCCTCATTGTTCTATTAACTTAAAAACATAAACAAACATATTTCACCTTACTGGTTTATAAAATTTACTTATAAAAGACTGGCCATATGTTTCATTTCCCGTTGACCAGGGCCCGTATTTTGTGTTTTGGGGGGAATTGTGGGAATGTGTTTTTCTGTCCATCTCTACTCATACAGGGGGCCAGGCAGCATACATGGCTCTTCTCCCTCATGTTTTATCTTGTGTCTGTGAGATAAACATGACTGAAAGGGAATGACTGGTCCACAGTCACTGCCACCCGACTGCGTGGCAGTCTCAACTCAGGTCTTTCCTCACAGGGATGCCGACCTCTGGGTGCTGGAGATCTCCCAGAATTACAAGTGATCTCTGCAGTTCCCCTGGAGAAAATGGCCGCTTCAGACTACTGTCTGACTCTGTGGCATTAGAATCTTGCCCTCCTCAGACACTCTCCCCAAATCTTCAGGATTTTCACAACCTAACTTTGGCAACCCTACTGCCTTGCCCCAGTCCAATACTCTAATCTGTGCACCACACAGGATATCAAGTAGTTTAAAAAAAAAGTGTGTATATGTGCCATTTCTTGATATCTCAGTGCGTTCCCTTGAATCTTGAGAATTTAAATCTTCATGTGCAAGGCAGATGAACCATCAAGTCAACATATCTTTGGGACCGCCTCTCATGGCATAACCCCCAAAGAGCTCTATGCTCTTTAAATAACAACACACTGACGGTCCCGGGGCCAAGGAATATTCACCTGGCTTCAACTTGAGCTAGAGCCTTCTTGGCGGTAGTTTGAGCTTGGTGGAATGCACTTCCAAGTGAGGTCTGGGCCCTGTGGGACTTGGCTTATTTCCACAGGGCCTGTAAAATGGAGATGTCCCACCGAACATATGGGTGGGTCCAGGAGAATTCCTATTCGTATAGTTCATCCTGCCCCTTCTCCCCCTTTTTTTCCTTCCCTTGAGACACTGATAGTATTATTATACGCCATCTGATTAATTGTAAATATTCGAACTTGAATCTGTGAAATTTATTTGTTTTAACTGTATTTTAAACTGTATTTAAACTGTTTTCTCATATGTTGTGATCTGCTCTGAGCCCCACGATAGTGGGGGAGAGCGGAATAGAAACTGAAAGAATAAATAAATAATTTTTAAAAGTGCGCAGTCTGCCATTTCACATGCTAGGTGAGATTCACTTTGCACTGTTCAATAGGATAACTTCATACATGCAGACACATAGAAGAACAAGAAACAAAGGCTGTGGAGCAGAGAACGCATGAGAGACAGATGCACGGATGGAGCAGAAAGCAGAGGATATGGGGAAGGATGGAATAGAGAAGGCTGACAGGAGAAGGCAACATGACACACAGAGGTGATACGCAGCAGGACATGAGATGCAGGACACCACAGGCATGGATGCAGTGAGCCAAGGTTTGCTGCTCTGCATACCCCTATGCTGCTGTCACTGCTGTCTGACCTGCACACCAAACAATCCCACTACTCCTGTCTCCGCCCTTAAGAGCGCCATTCCATCTCTTGCCTTGGGGGGAAGCAAGTAGAACCCTGGTTGTCCTGCTACTACAAGCCCCGCCAGCTAACTGGGTCAAGCCAGGCCAAGACGGAGAGTGCGGTCCACTTAGGAACCAACTTCCTCCTTACCAGCATTGCCACCATTAACCTGGTCACCCCAATGTCCTACAGCAGGAGGCTATCGGTCAGTAAGCCAGCCCCCTAGCCAGAATCCTCCTTGCTTCCTTTCTTGGTGACTTGAAATCTGGAAGCGACAGTGAGGCAGCTGGCTATTTTAAATGTCTCATGTCTGCACATACCTCCTTCCCACTACGCATGTGTACACAACATAGATATTCACAAAATAAGACGATCTGGGGGGGAGGGAATTGGAAGGGAGGGAAGGATGGTGGGGCAAAATAATGTTTTGTCCACCATGACCCAACTCACGTCCTACCAGTCCACCGCAATCAATGTTTTGCCCCTCTCTTGTATTATAGAAAAGAATGTTCTCTAGTATATTTTTAATATACTAGAGCCAGTTTGGTGTAGTGGTTAAGTGCGCAGACTCTAATCTGGGAGAACCGGGTTTGATTCCCCACTCCTCCACTTGCAGCTGCTGGATGACCTTGGGCAAACCATAGTTCTATTAGAGCTGTTCTCTCAGGGGCAGTTCTCAAAAGAGCTCTCTCAGCCCCACTTACCTCACAGGGTGTCTGTTGTGGGGAGGGGAAGGGAAAGGAATTTGTAAGCCGCTCTGAGACTCCCTTGGGTAGTGAAGGGCAGGATGTAAATCCAATCTCTTCTCTCAATAATAATAACAACAATAACAATAATAACAATAATAATAATAAACATGCACTACAGGCCCAATTAAAAGCGCACACGATAGGTAGAGCAGCAGTGTGTGAGGAGGGCAGGGCTCATGCAGTGTTCCCGAACATGAGAATGGGGATGTTAGAAGTACACAAGGAAGTCTCCGTTCCCACCTGGGAAACGTTGGAGAATCTGCACAACCTCCGCCTTTTCCCTGGTCCCTGAAGGTTCGTATCACCATAGTATCTAATTTGTAGACTTAAAATAGAGCTGTCGCCTGCTCTTAGCACAACCACATGACGCTGTTTGGAAAGAGCTGCTGAACTGATTATTTCAATTAGCTTGCATTTATTTTTAACCATTTGCCGGAGTGGTGCGTAGCACATAATCCCATCCCAGTGCAGTTCACTTGTTCAATATCCTTCCTTTCACTTGTTTTGTATCGCACCTGCCCTGTCTGAATGCCATTTTATTTTTCCTGGAATGCCATTGCCTGGAAAAATAACTATTCTAAGCCAACATTCTTCTCCATCAGTCATGTACAGGGACCTGTCTTCCCTTTTCCTTCCACAGCGGAATCAGAGATAACAGCATCTGCAGAGAGCAAGATGAGGATCATGGAGCTAAATAGCTAGGAAACTTTACTTTGGAAACAGAATAGATGGGAGACAATGAATAGCTTTAGATTTCTTGAGCAAAGTCAGCACATGTGCCGAGTGACTCACTGTCGCAAGGCGTGGCTTGATTTCTTGAGACACCTGAATCAGTTTTGACTTGCCACCCAGTCCAGTGGGAATTTGCAGAGGTCTGCTATCGCACCATCAACTGTAGTTGTGCAGTAAAACCTGGCATCCTTTGGTTTCAATCTGTGTATCTTGACCTAGGCTGCGGTCACACAAACTAAGTAATCCACTTTCAATACACTTTCAGTGCACTTTCAAATTGGATTTTGCCAGTTCACACAGTAACATCCAATTGTAAAGTGCGTTGAAAGTGGATTATTTAGTGTGTGTGACCGCAGCCCTAGAGGATGTATGTGAATGTTCATTTTTTGTGACTCCAGTCTGACACAGGGCGGGGGGGGGGGCTGGTCGTCTTGAGGCTTGCATTTAGACCCGCCAGACCCCACCTCTGCGCTCTCCTCTTTCAAACAAGCCCTTTCTAGAACAGTTGCTTCCGTGTCATTATGCTGTCTGCTATTCCAGTGTGGAATTCTCCCTAGGTGCTTTGCTGTGCTGGTGCGGTAGGTGACGTTTCCACTGATGCAAGCACCATAGCCCTTGATCCTCCCTACTTTTTGCCAGGCACAACAGGCTAATGGGGACCAGTCTGCACCTCTTAGTCTTGGCTCTGCAGTCCCTCCAGCATGGTGCTTGCCCGCCTTGCTTCAGACCTGGACAAACTGCAGATCGGACCGTGTGAGCTCCGCAGCCTGAGTGTGGGCCTGGTGATCCTGCCTCAAGGGTCGGGGTTGGAGGAAATGAACTTCAGGGGCCGTCTCTGTAATTTTCCATCCATGTTGCTGTGAGCCTAGGATTGCTAAATGCCAATGTCAGTACTGTCTCTATTTGAAGAAATAATGTGAGGGAGACTCCATTACAACAACCTCTGTCACTAAGGTAGGGCAAGGCTGTGTGTATTAAACAAACACGTGCAATGAAACTAAAAATCTGATTTTCCCCCCCTCCCCTCCCCACAAATGCAGGAGTGGATCAAGCACTGCCACAAGAACGCCGAACTCCCGTTACCCCCTCCTCCTCCTCTCGCTACCATCGACGCAGGTCCTCAGGGTCACGTGATGAGCGCTACCGGTCAGGTATGTGGGGAAAGGACTCCGGGCTGATGAGAGAAGAGCCTTTCCGACTAGGGATTTGAAGTGGGGGTTCCAATGGCATTTGCTGGAAACAAACAATCAAAAGAAGTTCTGATTTCATTTGCCAAACAATCTCAAGCAAACAAAGTATCAGGAAGGAAAGGAAAATTGAGGAGTAACATGATTTCGGCATGGCTTAATAGCAGAATTATAGCTAATGTTGTGGGGGGGGGTGAAAAATTGTGCATATATAGGGTTGGATCCAGCCAGCTTGTTCACTTAATCACATCCAGTGCCCCGCTGTACTACAGACCCCCTCCCCACGTGGCTTTTGGACATGCAGATACCATGTTTCTGAGCATAGCCTTTAAGATGGTTACTTCCGTCCCTTATCACCCGCGGAAAAGCTAGTTGGATTCAACCTGTAGACCTGTCCTGCCAGTTGATGAGCACCAGCATATCAGTTCTTCTTGGACATCAGTAGAAGAGGGCATGTATTGCTCCTGCCTTCAGGATTGAGCAGAGGTCTCCTTTCATGTATTGCATGCAACCCAAGCCCAGGGCCGCACCTGCATGTGCTGCCATAAACATGTCTGGGGTCAAGAAGAAAGATGCTTCCCCCAAACAGCAAGTGAGTGGTATTTACCAACATGGTTCATGCCTGCTGCACATTTGGAGGAGTGCTTTTTGCATTTTACATGTTCACTGCAGTGCTGAAACAGTGGCATACTTAGGCCGCCTCATCAAGTATGCAGTTGCTCTAGGGCAAAGGCTTGAGAGTTCTCTGCCAAGCCATTAGAGAGTTAGAGGAAGCCCTTGTGCCTGTCAGTACCCTTTCTTTCACCTTCGGTCGTTTATCACAGATCTTAACATTCCTGTGCTTCTATGTGGGTTCTAAAAATGTGTGCATATGCAGTGTATCATAAAACTCTTGAACATGTATTTCCACTTGGTATCTTGTTATTTGGATCTGAGTGGAAGAGCCAGTTGTACAGTCCAGCTCCAGTGTGAAACTTCTTGACTGTACTCAAATAGAAAAGAAGATGGAGAAAATATTCAGTGAGACTCAGTGCTCCAGGGCTACAGTCCTAGTGCAGAGTCTCTAATCACAGCCATGCTCTCTGTAGCTCCAGTGATAATTAAAATCCCAGTGGGAGGGTATCCGCAGAATGCCTGGAAGAGCTCTGGATACAGAAGTGAAAGCAGATGCCGCTGTATAAGTCTGGAAACTTCTGGGCGAGCCATTGCTCACACAGGGCTCTCAAGTCACAGCCAGCATTTAGAGAAGAAAGGTTTCCTGAATAATCTTGGAGCTGTCTGTACACAGAAGTGTTCTCCATTGAAAGGGGGAAAGACAACTTTACACTGGTAGACCTCACATTTGCCTTGGCTGGTAATGGGATCCTTATGTATACAAGGAGCTCTTGGTCACGGAGAATGTTCTTCAGAGGGGTAGAGGTTGAACACATACAGGAAGCTACCTTATACTGAATGTTAGACCTCGGGTCTATCAGAGTCAGTATTGTCTACTCTGGGGCTGGCAGCTTTTGATTGTTGAAGACATCATCAGAGGGCTTTAGGTTGAATGCGTATATGAAAATCATGCTGAAAATCAGACCACTGGTCTATTAAGAGTCAGTATCGGCTACTCCAACTGGGAGCTGCCAGTTGCTGAAAGACGTCTTCAGAGGGTTAGAGGTTGAACACATCCATAAAGCTGCCTTATACACTTCTGCTCTGTCAGAGTCAGTATTGTCTATCCAGAGGTGTCAGACTCATTTGTTACAAAAGCTGGATCTGACATAAGTGTCACTTTGTTGGGCTGGGCCATGTGTGCCATGAAACGTAATGCCAGGTATTGTAGAGATGACCTTTATAAAGGACAGCAGCTGGTATGCTCCAAGTTGGTGTATCCTCACTGCAGGGCCCCAGGGGGTGGGAGGGGGTGCAGAGGAAAACCCACATGGGCAGACTGGAGAGCCAGCGGTGCAGCACTGGGCAGACATTCCCATGCTGCTTGACTGCTGCAGACGAGGTTTTCCGCTGTCCTGAAGCCACAATCTGAGTGGCTCCACCCACTGCCCTCCCCGAGCAGTCTTGTACCAGTTGCTTGTGGGCTGCATGAGAGCCCTGGACGGGCTAGTTCTGGCCCCCGATCCTTATGTTTGACACCCCTGGTCTGCACTGACCGGCAGCACCTCTCCAGAGTCTCAGGTACAGTTCTTTCCCATCACCTACTACTTCATCCTTTTAACCGGAGTTGTTGGGGGTCGAACCTGGGACCTTCTGAGTACAAAACAGATGCTCTGCCACTGAGGCACATCCCCTCGCTCGATGCCTCTTCAAGGGCTCAATTTAGTAGCTTAAGGACTCCAGAGTCCTGAAATTCCCCGGCTTTGAGAATAACTATTATGAACACTTCTAGCTTTCAGGGGTGTAAAGATAAGTTTGAGCCTCTGGTTGCAATAATTTCTGGCAGCCTGTCCTAATTTATTAAATGTATTTGAATCTGGCCTTATCCTTTCATAAATCTCTTACGTGGTTCTCACACACACATCATAAACACATAATTAAAAAACGTATTACACTGTCAACAGTGGCATTCACGATATAGCCATAAATTGAGTGCACTGATGTTTGTAATAAGTTTGGCTGTCCTACCTACATTAAGGCTTTCTGTGAACCAGGCTGGTATAATTATGAGCTGGCAATATGCAGACCTGAAATGAGGACAACTCTGGACATTTCTGTTTACTGTATGTTCACGCATAGAATTGCTACTATCATTAAGGTTATATAGTCAATCAGAGTGTTTTTGAGCAAGTCTACTCAGAATTCTGCTCAGGTCTATTGAAGCATTTGTAGGCATGGATGTAAACATCACCTGATTTTTAAAAAATTAAGTCTCTGTTAAAGGGTTAGAATCACCTGGATGCCCTGACCTGGATTTCCCAGCCTAGCCCAGTCTTATCAGATCTTGGAAGCTCAGCAGGGTCAGGCCTGGTTAGTACTTATGGGAGACCGCCAAGGAAGTCCAGGGTTGTCTGTGCAGAGGCAGGCAATGGCAAATCACCTTTGAACGTCTCGTGCCTTGAAAACGCTACAGGGTCTCCATAGGTCACCTGTGACTTGAGGGTATGTTCCTCCACCACCGCTATTCAGTGGGGCTTACTCCCAGGAAAGCATGTTCCTCCACCACAGCTATTCAGTGGGGCTTACTCCCAGGAACGTTTTTATAGGACTATACTGTGTATGTGCTAGTTTTGCCTCTAAAATAGTGGTGTGGCTTTGATCAAGAAAACAGCGATCACGACAGTCCGCATACTATCCTGAATCTGCCAACTCGTTGCCCATGACATAACTCCGGCTGCTATCACACACACAAAATAATCCACTGTCAGACTCCTGGGCAAGTTATTCTCAACAACACTGTCTTTGGCAGTGATATGTTTATTGAGTTAATACCAACTTCCAGGTCTTAACAGTACTGTGTCAGATCGAACGATTTTGGCGGGTACAATCAAATATATAGGTAATTCAGATGTAACCCCTCCTAAGGCCCACTCGTACGTCACATTCACTCCACCTAGCTCCAGCATCTCAACCCTCCCCCTTCAATTGGGAAAATATATGATCCCATTATCTACTAAGCAAGCTGGCCCCAGAAGTCTCAAGGACATTCCTCTGGGAATAGAGGAAGGCTTCTTCAGAAGAATTACGCTCTCCACACTCACACACCCCACCTAAGGAATTCCCCTCGCCCAACATCCATGGCAAACTGAGCAGAGCAAGGTCTGACAGGTGTGGCTTTGATCAAGGAAATAGCGATCTCGGCGGTCCACACGCTATCCTGAATCTGCCCACTCTTTGCCCACAACATAACTCTGGCTGCTATCAGACACACAAAATAATCCACTTTCAATAGACTTTCCAACTGGATTTTTACTGTGTGAACTGGCAAAATCCAATTCAAAAGTGCATTAAAAGTGGACTGAAAGTGGATTATTAGGGTGTATGATCGCAGCCTCCATTGTCATTGTCAGAAAGGCTGTGACAATGTGCTGGGTTTCAGTTTGGACTTGTGGCAAATGAGTCAGATATCCATCACAAGCTGCCAGAGACAGAGAAGTGTGTGGGGGGGAATATTGGCTTCTCCAGCCAGGTCAGTCGTGTGCTGCAGCTGTCAGCCCTGCACGTGTGATCAGTACAATAAAATAAATTACACAGTCTCTCGGTCTGAACAACAAAAAAGGACAACAACAGATTGAGAAGTCTTCCGTCAAGCTGAAAAGTAATCCTCTTAATTTGCCCTCTGTTAAAAGACCTGCTTTGACTAATCTTCGCTTGCTTTTACTCAGCAAGATTGTTCAGAGTTAGGAGATGAATGAATTATTTGTTGTGATCAAAGACCAGCACTTAAGTAAGTACATTACCAGAAATATTACATTTAAAACTTTTTTTTTGGGGGGGGGGCATCAAATTGCAACTGATTGATAGCAAACCTCGTAGGGTTTTCAAGGCAAGAGGTGTTCAGAGGTGTTTTGCTATTGCCTGTTTCCGTGTCATGGCCCTGGTATTTGCTGGTGGTCTCCCATACAAATACTAACCAGGGTCGACCCTGCTTAGCTTCGGAGATCTGAAAAGATTGGACTATTCTGGGCTATCCAGGTCAGGGCAAAAAAAATTACATAGATTATATTAAAATAAGCAAATATGATTCATTAAATAAATACAGAGCAACTGCACAGAATGTGGCCCCTTTTTCTGTGATCCAGGGCTCATGGTCCAAGAGGAGACTTAGATGAACACAGGGTGCTGCCCAAGTCAGACTGGTGGTTCAGCTAATCCAATACTTGATGGAATCATAGAATCATAATTGGAAGGGACCTCCAGGGTCATCTAGTCCAACCCCCTGCACAATGCAGGAAATTCACAGATACCTCCCCCCGACCCCGTGACCCCTGTTCTTTGCCCAGAAGAGGGCAACGCCCCCCCAAACCCTC